TTCCACTCCTACTGCTATTTATTTAATATTTTACTTATTTGCCCCTTTTGTTTGTTTGTTTGTTCACCATGTAAAGCGGCCTTGGGTCCCTTGAAAGGCGCTATACAAATGTAATCTATTATTATTATTCGATTTCTACGATTTCAACCATATTCAATGTAAATACTGCTATATTTTACTATAATTTCAAATATTGTTTTACGTTATTATAGTTTTCTTAAAATAGTTTTCTATCTGTGTTTTTAATTTTGGTTTAATTTGTATGTATGTTATGTACGCACCATAACACCACGTCAAATTCCTCGTATGTGTTAACCTACCTCATAATAAACCTGTTTCTGATATATTGTGTCTTATTTCTGTCTTACAGTACGTTTACTGAGCGAGTCGTTGATATGTGTCCTATTTTATCGCATTTTTCTTTTGCCTATTTACCTTTTTGTATTCCATAATATAATGGACGTTCATACAATCCACATTAACCACTCATTATGCAGGGTATCTTAATTCTGACTCCATAAAATGTCAATAAACCTGTTGTGATTGCTCAACTGATTACAGATGTCCCGCCCCTTAGCCTATCACGTACAATGTGTTTGAGCGATAGCCAATAGAAGCGCGATTGTCACTATTGTAACTTTAGGATTTAAGCCTTTGCAGACAATTTACAAAAACCCATATAACAAACTACAGGAAAGGGAAAACCCCAAAAAGCATAATAGGGCCTCTTTAAAGCTGAAATAATAACATTTAGCCTCGTTATAACAGAAGGATAGCAAACAGAGACATAACCTTACACCTATATTAATACATACAGAAACATAGTATTAATTTAAATGATATTTAACAACTTTGTAATCTGTCATGCCCACATCAACATGTTATCTCCATTATAATATGTGCTTAAGTGGCTCTTACACACGTTATTTTAAGTGTCTTCTTTACTTCACTGCACGAGCCAATATGGTTTAGCCTCTGACTCGACTGAAATGTTATCTTATTATTTGTTTGTCTTGTGCCCAAAGGTCGAAGCACTTTGAGCTGCATCCTGTGTATAATAAGTGCTATACAAATAAAGCTTAGTTATACTAGTGTGTTAATGGAAAAGGTGCGAACATGGCAGCAAAACAGCTAAACAAAAGGTCCAAAAGTCGACCCTGTAATTGTGACTAAGAGCCCGCTGAGAACGTAGTGATGAAAGAATGCTGGTTTCCTATGAAGGCGGATTAAAGCTGTGATGAGAGACGGCACTATTCAGGGAAGAGGTGACATCCCTGCAGGACTATAACTATGATGATGAGGATGATGATGATGATGGTGACCTTTCTCATGCTGTCAGCAGCTCTGACTCATGCCTCTGTTCCCAGGCTGTGTGTGTGTGTGTGTGTGTGTGTGTGTGTGTGTGTGTGTGTGTGTGTGTGTGTGTGTGTGTGTGTGTGTGTGTGTTCACACTCTGCCGGGTACATCACAATGCAGTGGTGGAATGTATAGGTACATTTACTCAAGTATTTAAGGCCAAATTTGAGGTGTTTCTTCATTAACTGGTTATTTCTTAGTTCATTTCTAAAGGGGAATATTTTACTCCAACATATTATTTTATCTTTTCCTATTTAACATAGAAAATCTGAGCAATTAAACTACAAACAGTGTGTAGAGTGGTCAATCTTGACTCCTGACAATGTTAAAATAACAGGGAAGAGACCATAAAGGTTTTTATAGCGTAAAAAAACACAACTTACAATATGTTAATCGTGGAAATCTTCACATAAGTGACTTGAAACAGCTTATAGATTATTGTAGAGAAGTGCAGATGTAAGAAAGAACAGACTCACGGTGTGGCTATTTAAAATAATGATTTATGATAACTTTATTTAGGGTTGTTTGACTAGGGTGGACTCAGGTGTTCGCGATCTAACAGGTGAGCGCTTTGTTTTCTACTACCTTTCTAAAAATATTAGTCACATGATTTAATAAAAATACTTGTATCTTAACTAAGTATATGACAAAGGGATTCCAGCGTGTTTTAGTGCGATTTTAGCTGCTTTTTAAGCATATTTAGATGATTATCGGGAAAATGTCGCACTTATTTTGACTAGGATAACCTCGAAATACCTACTCAGAATGCGGCTAACATTCTATAAATAAAAAAGAATAACCTAATGCTAGAATAAACAATTATATAACCCTGACGACTGCATATTGTTAAAATGATGTATTTACTTTTACATTAGTGACATTTTGAATGCAAGCCAAGTACTTTCTCCATGTAGTATAATACTTAAAGGGGACCTATCATGCAAAATGCACTTTTGTACGTCTTTTATACATGAATATGTGTCCCCGGTGTTCCAGGGAACTCACCAAGTGTCAGAAAACACAACCCTCTCTATTTTCCTCCATACCCAAATCTCTAAAAAAGGGGCTGCAACGGATCTGATAAAAACTGATCCAGATTTGAACACTGTCCTGACGTCAGGACGGTGGCGCTACGGCTATTGGGCCAACTCCACCAATCAGGAGGAGACAGCCACGGCCATTGCCGCTCGAAAGCGCTGGAGATGCTGTAGTACATATGCCAGGCCTGTAAGTGGCGCTGTAGTCTGCCACAAAAGCAGCGAAGAAGACTTCCCGCCCATAGTTACCATGGTTACCCTTCTGTTTATTCTCCACTGTGGCTTTTTTTCTCCCTCCCCGAGCCAAGCGTTTGCTCCCGCTGCAATGCAATCCCTCCCCGTCGAGGCAAGCACTGTAATTCTCTCCGGTTAGTCCACCAGCAGATGACAAACACCCACCTCTCCGCCTCTTCCAAGGAACGAGGGGACCGTGCGGCAGAGTTTCAGTTTCAGTTTGTTTCGCCGGTCAAGATGTCCGTTAAAGTTGAAATCTTCCGGACAAAATTAGAAAAGTGCCGGTCAAAGGTCTTCTTTGTTATTTATTGAGCTTTGAAACTAATGAATAACGACTCTATATAATAAAACACGGAGGACAGAGATCTCTTTTTCTCCCCCTCTTCTGACAGCCCAGCAGCTGATCAGAGCACGTCTCCCCTCTCCTGCAGGGGGGCGTGGTCAGCAGAATCAGACCCGTAGACAGCAAACAGCACATAGAGCGAAATGAGGCATGGCTAAAATGCATGATCTGTTTGGTATTTTGAAAACAGAAACGTATAAATATACCTTATATAGGTATGGCCCTACAATATATCATTTAAATATAGCATGATAGGTCCACTTTAAGTAAAGGGAAATCTAAGTGCTTCTTCACTTCTGATCCTGTGTCGCTCACTCACGCAGTTAGTAAGTTAATTAGCCAACAAATTGTCCATTTAATTTGACAAATGAAGCTTTAATAATCTCTTAAAATCTGTAATATCTTCACATGCATCTTGACTCTTAACACCAACAAGATCCTTGTCAGAAACGTCCAAAACGCTCACATTTCTTCATGTGTCAGCCAGTCTGATTTCTTACTACCAAGTAAAAATGTAACAGTTTTGCAATACCTGTCAAACCTCACCCCCCCTCCCCCCGCTCTCGCTGCTCCTTCACAAGCACTCATATTATTTGGCCACTAAAACCTACTTTCCCCTCCAAAACAATCACTTCCCTCACCGTGTGATCTATCACCATAAGTGTGTGTAAAAAGCTGTTTCCAAAGCAAGCACTAAACCTGGACTCACACTGGAATGAGATGCCTAAACACATCACATCACAGCCGGTTTAATAACTCTAAGGGGCAAATAAAAATATCTAAATGAAGGAAACACTCAGCACATTTTTAGAACGTTTTAATGAGTTAGCATTAGCAGCATTAGCAACAACAAGCTTATATTTATCCAGCAATATGCCATAATGTCTCCTTATATGGACCTAAATATGTTATTAACCACCATTCGACCAATAACCAAACTGATTAGATTTATTTTTAACTAACACTATCTTTAGGTGACTCTGATTTAGGAATAAATAATAAAAATAGTGCCATAGAGGAACAACATGAGCACAACTAGCTTATTCAGGGACATCCCATAATGTCTCCATATATGGACCTAAATATATCATATTAACCACCATTTGACCATAAACGTGTTTTTTAACTATTTATCTAATGTAAAAGTGAGTTTTATTCAGGAATAAATAATAAAATAGTGCCATAGAGGAACAACATGACCACAACTTGCTTGTATTTATCCAAAACATCCCATAATGTCTCCATATATGGACCTAAATATATAATATTAATCACCATTTGACCATAAACGTATATTTTAACTATTTATCTAATCTAAAAGTGAGTTTTATTCAGGAATAAATAATAAAATAGTGCCATAGAGGGACAACATGACCACAACTAGCTTGTTTTTATCCAAAATGATCCTATAATCGTCCATATATGGACATAAATATATCATATTAACAACCATTTAACCAAAAACTTATATTTGAACTATTTATCTAATGTAAAAGTTAGTTTTACTAAGGAACTAATATTGAAATAGTGCCATAGAGGGACAACATGACCACAACTTGCTTGTATTTATCCAAAATGATCCTATAAATGTCCATATATGGACCTAAATATGTCATATTAACCACCATTTGACTAAAAACGTATTTTAAAACTATTTATCTAATGTAAAAGTTAGTTTTATTCAGGGTTACATATTGAAAGAGTGACATTGAGGAACAACATAACCACAACTAGCTTGTCCAAAATCATCCTATAAATGTCCATATATGGACCTAAATATGTCTTATTAACCACCATTTGACCAAAAACGTATTTTTTTAACTATTTATCTAATCTAAAAGTTAGCTTTGCTCAGGATTAAATATTTAAATAGTGCAGTAGTGGGACTGTTTACAATGTACGTCATCACACTGACCCTTGACCGGTTCACTTGATGTATCAATGCGCCATCATCAAAACCAATATTCAGGTAAATATAGTCCGTTTATAATAAAAATACACTTAATTAAAGTAAAATAAAGTAAACCTACCTTACTCTTGACCTCTGCAGAAAGACCGAAAGCAGGTCCGCTCCTGAAATGTGTTGTCATCCTGTCGTTTTCTTTTTTTGGGGTCTATTTACAGTAGAAATAAGTGCTTTAAAAAGAGGAGAAGCAGGAGGGACACACAGGGAAAGTCCCGAACAAATCCGAGGGTATTATTACTTCACTTCTAATTATTGTTTTTATCGTCGGAGCGGATCTTGGAGCTGCTTCTTTGGAGGATTTCCGACAACTTTCCGACACTTTTCTGAATCTTTTTTAAACTCTTCCCATGTGTGTGCGCGCTGATTGGTCGAGCCCGCCGTCCAATCAGCGCGCAGCATCCTCAGAGTGATGTCATCGCTTGGGTATTAGATTTAATCAGTGTCACTTTTTCCACTTTTCACTCGATGTTCACATCAGGGTTCAGATCTGCTGCTGCTCTGATGTCACTGTCATGTTTAATGAATGTATCTGAGTTATCAGTCATAGCCCTAACATGCATTTCATGATAACTAATGATAACCTTAATATATATAATGTTATATATTGTAGTACAATCTTTATATATGCAGTCTATTAGTATAATGTGCACATGCTGAACTGTCACAAAACCCATTTTCTACAAGGATACATAATAACAATAAATAAATATAACATTATATCAGATTATATTAGATGTCCGATTTTGATCCTAAATTGGGATATACAGTAGTTTTGTTACAGCTGCATGTTTACAAGGCACACTTTAATCAAATAAAAGGAAGAATCAACCGTAGAAAGACGTATGAAATATATATAACACACCATATAAATACAATATACAATGTACTTCTTCCATCACTTTTCTTTATGTATACATCCATACATATCTGTGGGATTACGCAGCATATCTGACATCTGTTCCTCTGCTGACGTCACAGCAGTGAGTCGGTGTTCCTCTTTTACTCCAGAGCTGATCCTCCAGGGAGAGGAATGTGTGTGGTGTGTGTGTGTGTGTGTGTGTGTGTGTGTGTGTGTGTGTGTGTGTGTGTGTGTGTGTGTGTGTGTGTGTGTGTGTGTGTGTGTGTGTGTGTGTGTGTGTGCGTGTGTGTGTGTGTGTGTGTGTGTGCGTGTGTGTGTGTGTGTGTGTGTGTGTGTGTGTGTGTGTGTGTGTGTGTGTGTGTGTGTGTGTGCGTGTGTGTGTGTGTGTGTGTGTGTGTGTATGTGTGTGTGTGTGTGACTACCAGACACATGTCGTTGGAGGAAAGGAACGCCAGAGAGGAACATTATGGAAAAACCAGGGACAGATGAAAGGGTGCGAATAAGTGAGAATAAAAATACCATTGCTAGTGCTGAATATCGAATATTAATGGGTATAACATTAGCTGGTATGTCAGTTACTGGCTATGTTAGCCTTTGAACATTCATTTGTAATTTTCTACTTTGGCAATCCTTATTATTTTACTCATTTTACATTTTCATCATTTTTTGTTTAACTGTAAACTAGGCTACTGAGTATTTTAGCCTAATGCCTCTGCATTTGTCATTTTTCAATAGTTATCATAATTCTTGCTTTGTTTCTACTTTTGTATTCTATTGACAGGTATTGCAAAACTGTTATATATTTACTTGGTAGTAAAAAATCAGACTGGCTGAAACATGAAGAAATGTGAGCGTTTTGGACGTTTCTGACAAGGATCTTGTTGATGTTAGGAGTCAAGATGCATATGAAGATATTACAGATTTTAAGAGATTATTAAAGCTTCATTTGTCAAATTAAATGGACAATTTGTTGGTTAATTAACTTACTAACTGCGTGAGTGAGCGACACAGGGTCAGTATTGAAGAAGCACTTACATTTATAGTATTATACTACATGGAAAAAGTACTTGGCTTGCATTCAAAATGTCACTAATTTAACAATATGCAGTCGTCAGGGTTATATAATTGTTTATTCTAGCATTAGGTTATTCTTTTTTATTTATAGAATGTTAGCCGCATTCTGAGTAGGTACTCAAAATGAGTGCGACATTATCCCGATAATCATCTAAATATGCTTAAAAAGCAGCTAAAATCGCACTAAAACACACTGGAATCCCTTTGTCATATAGTAAACGGATGTATTGGAGTACATGGACAAAGGACAGTAAGGATGGCAATGGAATAAATACTTCATCGTAAATGATGTACTTTCCTGACGCAAAGGGCCTTCAATGATAACGAAAACAAGTAGTGGCGTCAACTTTTCCCAGTTTGATTCCTTTCATTTTCGTCTTTCAGGAGTTTTCCTTTACCGGAAGACAAATTATCTCCTCCCTCTCTCCAAAACAAACAGACCCAATGATTAGACCAGCAAAATGTGTGTTTTCCTGGTAGAGAGGATACTTCTAGAAAGGCCGAGGATGAATGAAAGAGTGACACATCGAGCTGACTCCTGGTATGGATTTATGAAAGTGTGCAAATGCAAGATTACTGGACACACACTGTTACCCAGCAACTATGCAAAGGGCTTCAATGGATTTACCCTCGCACGCACGCACGCACGCACGCACGCACACACACACACACACACACACACACACACACAGCTTAAAGTAATTACCGCAGAGCAATGGTCTGCATGAGAGACTCCGCTGAACGCTATGTTCACAATGTGATGTTTCTCTCCATACTAATTAAAATGCCAGCGCACTGAACAATACAACATATACATTATAATTTGTGCAGGAAATATAGAAACGTTTTCAGGAGTCCAGCACCTGATTTATAATGATCCTACAGCATCACATGCATTCTGTAGCATGATGGATTCATCTGATAAGTCATGTAAATTGGTTTATAAAAAGATATATGATATCTAATCCCATCTTTAGGGGCTAATCGTGGGTAACTGAGCAGCCTGGTGAATCTTACGTACCCTTACAACCAAACAGGATTGTCAATGAGATGTTTTATCTGGGGCTGTGTTTGTTTTTTACGGATCACAAATATGTTTTAATCAAATTCTGCGCAAATCCACACATGGAGTATAGGTCAGGGTGTTTGTATCGAGTGAGAAATGAAAAGCTAACATTGACTTATTTAAACCTGCGTACTGTACGTAACTTATGGAACAAACATACTTATTTTAGGACAAACCATGGTCGTTTACTAAAACCTATAACGTAATTATTTTTGGTATTTGGCTATTTTTGTTTTGTTCGACGATTCTCAATATTACAATTCGGTCCATAAACCAGGAAAATTAGGTTTAGTTGTTTGGGAACGTAACTTATAAGAGACATGAGGGCTAGTGATCTTAAACCTGTATAGTCAGAGTCAGTATTTTTTTTTTTTTATAAGAAAGGACACCTAATTGTGACGTCTGTAGTCAACACACTTTAAAAGACTACAACTCCCACGGCGCCTCCTCTAAAGTGACAGTGATGGGCAGCAACCTGCCAGAAAGACACCGTAGAGGAACAGTTTTTAACCGTTCAATTACCCTTTAAGTTATTAAGTTATATAAGCCTTATCAAGAAAGAAAGAATACCTAAGTTGTTTGTTATTTTATTTTGAGCCAACACATCGCATAATATCATCCAAACCATCGGAGGCCAAGCAACTCTTCAACTGTAAGTAATATAAAGGAAAGAAAACAAGTTAAAAATGTCTGTTTGAAGGCGTCTAGTGGCTTGAAAGAAAAAGAAGGAAGGAAGGAAGCCACGACATGTATAGTTCATAAAAGGTCCCATTACACCGAAAGCCCGGAAAGTAATTGAAATGTTCAATGATAGTGATGTGACGTTCGCGAACGATCCGATTCTTTTGAACGGCTCTTTGGTACGAACGAAGGGAACCGAGTCGTACTTGGTGAGAGCCGTTCATTTTATCGTTGGTTCACTGCCTGCCATAAATCCACTCGCCTTTACAGGAACTTGCTTTCCTGAATGCAAAATGTTCCGTAGATGATGGCATAACGCATGCTGCTTGCGTAGTAGTTGGGCTGGCTGAGAGATGTAGCAAGTTATACATTTTTTCTGTGAGTAAAAGTAGATTTCTGGCAATACAGTCAATCATTATCCTGGTGATTATTTTGCAGATAAACCTAGTAACCCCGCCCCCTTGAAAAAAAAACGGCTCTTTTGAACGGCTCTCGGAAAGGAACGGAGCCATAAGATCCGGCTCCCTTCAAAGAGCCGTAAATCCCATCACTATTCAATGATGCTGTAAATACACAGGGTGCGTCTCACTTCGGTTATTTTTCATTTCCTCGCTCCTCGGGCTCGGTATCACCGGAAGTTGATTTGTCTGCGCCATCTTGAGTAGCGTCCCAGTGGCCTTATTTTTGCCGGAGGATCGAGGATCGAGGAGTGATAACGGAGGAACTACCAGACCATCCTCCGGTGAAATCCTCAGACACTCGCCCCGCCCCCTTACTGTGTATCGCTCACTGATTGGACGATGCAGCGCATGCACTGATCTGGCTGCTGTCGGACAATCAGCTGTGCGGCGTCATCACAAACGGACGTCGCTTCACGTAACGCTCCGGAGGAAACGACGTCCCATTGCTCTTAAAACTAATTTCCCTGCTTCCCGTGGTTTCCTTGCGTCTCTCCATGCTTCCCTGGTGGGAGGGACTAGTCGCAGGGAAACCACGCAAGTGAGGGACGCAAGGAATCCATTTAACCGAAGTGAGACGCAGCTCCAGTTGAAGCATTAGTTGGTATGTAAGCACTTGAATCGTGCTCATGCTGTTGTAACACATGGTGGGTTTTGAAGGTAGATTTAGGCCTATAGCTTTACTCAGAGAAAAGCAAACGTGTTCTTAGGATGTTTGCAAGTTTAACCAACTCTGAATCGACACTAGCCCCAAAACAAAACTTTAACAGAACTTGCTTTGGTGTAAAAGAGTGCAAAGACAAATGCTATTTCTCTCAATAGTTAAACTCGCCATATGACTTGGATCCGCTGCTAAATGTATTTGGTTCTTCCTCGGGGAACGCTCCACCCTTTCATCAAGTTTCTTGGAAATCGCACCTTTAGTTTTTCCTTAATCCTGCTCACATACAAACAAACCAAAACAAAGACAAAACCCGATAAAGAGATTTAGCGTTAATCCACCAGATCTCCTGGCAGATAATTGAAAGGTTAAACGTTTGAAGAAAAATCAAGAACACCTGTCCTGAGTGTTGGACACATGATGTCAGTATTTTATAGTCCCAATGATCTCAGTACACCAATAACCAGATAATCAAGTTAAACAAATACAGGAACAACGTAATTGACCTC